GAATAATAGCGCTCTCTAGTCGTTAGATTCTTGGCTGACATTGTTCTGGACACACACACACGCTCTTTCACACACACTAAACCCAAGTCTTTTCACGACGCGCTGTGAATCACAAGTTCCTGGAGGACGTGCTGTTGGCAGCGGCTCTCAAGGTCCCGTTGAGCCAGTGCTGGCACAGGGGCTGATGGGAGAGAAGGATGGCTCTCCTTGCCTCTGTTCTCTGCAAAGCCTTACTCTGTATGCATGACATGGGATGTTGTGGTGGTGGAATGGATGCTGAAACACTTTAGGCTTTAAAAGCGGGTCTTCGTTTATCTCATCCATTTTGACGGCCTGCGATGAATGATTCCAGGTGTCCTTGACCTAAAGAAGGAGCATATAAAGCATGAAAGCAAGAGCGTTGTTGTCCTTTATGAGCCAGTAAGCAGAACACTAGGGTAATGTCTTTCTCTAGTGGGAGTACACACACCCTCCCACCTCTCGCCTGCTAAAAGCCCCAGGGCTCCGAGTGACTGAAAGCGAGGCAGTCTTATCTGTGGGGGTAAGGTGTGTCCTGCCCTGCTCAGCCCTTTAGCACTTCCCTCTCTCACAGCCTCATGGGAGACACAAAGAGGATTGTGTTCAGGGAGAGTAAGAAAGCTGGGGATTGCTGGATTTGGTGTGGAAGTACAAGAGTAGTTGACAAATGGAATGGAAATGACACTTTTTATGTCATAAATGTAGGGATGTAACGATTACCAGTTTGACGATAAATCGTGATAAAATTCCCCACGGTTAGTATTACCGTTTCATATTTTAATTACTGTAATTCAGCTTTTCCATAAGCGCCACCTGCTGGATTTACTGAGACTTATATTTACATTCAGCCTGTGTGCAGTTTCTGTCTGGCCAAAAATGGACCGAATTCGCATGCCCTGCTGTAAATTGACCGGTTGATGAAAAACAAGCTTATGCGGATTCTACACATTTAAACAATACAGATGTTATCTAGAATTATTTATTCATTTATTAATCAATTATCATTTTGACTTACATCTTTTCTTTATTTAAAGGCTGAAATGTGAGGTTTACCTTTTTATGAAACTTTTTCAAAGCTTTATTTGAACATTTACATTAGATATTTGAACATGCTATTAGATAAACTGTTGTCAGTCATGTTGTCATTTAAAATCCGGACATCATTGATAATGTTATTGTTTTAGTGATTATGCAAACAAAAAAGTCATTTTATTTATATAACTTGGTGAAGTGATTTATGTGTCAGTACTTTTTGGACATCTCCAGCACATTTTAACAATACCGTGATAATACTGATAACCGTGATAATTTTGGTCACTATAATCGTGATAGGAAATTTTCATACCGTTACGTCCCTACATAAGTGTAAATGATTGTGAAAAAAGTGTAGATCTTAGATGCTGTAAGTGGCCGCCAAGTTTGTTTTTTTTGTGCAGTTCATTGTTATATTTTTCAACATGCTATTAAACTGTTGTCAGTCAAGTTGTCATTTAAAATCCGAACATCATTGATAATGTTATTGTTTTAGTGATTATGCAAACAAAAAAGTCCTTTTATTTATATAACTTGGTGAAGTGATTTATGTGTCAGTACTTTTTGGACATCTCCAGCACATTTTAACAATACCGTGATAATACTGATAACCGTGATAAAGTTGGTCACTATAATCGTGATAGGAAATTTTCATACCGTTACATCCCTACATAAGTGTAAATGATTGTGAAAAAAGTGTAGATCTTAGATGCTGTAAGTGGCCACCAAGTTTGTTTTTTTTGTGCAGTTCATTGTTATATTTCTAAATAATTGTTGTGTGTAAACCCCCCCCCCCCAAATTAATAAAATAGAATAAATCCTATTAGTTTCTAAAAACTGAATGGGAAAAAATATACATTTTTCGTAGTAAACGCTGTGGTTGTACCACCACAAGGTACCACCGTGATACTAGAGTTTTTATTATTTGCTAGGGCATTGCTATACAGTTGCTAAGGTTTTCTTTATACAGTTTCTAGGGTAGATTGCTAGCTGCTAGGTGGTTGTTTACTGGCCCAAGTTCAAAGAGTCTCTTTTATTGTGGTTATTAGATCAAGTCCTTTTGTGCTTTTTTTCTGATAAAAAATGCTATTGCAATTTAAAGTGCATGTGTCTGTGTGTGTGTGCATGTTTTAAGTAGTGCTGCTTGGACAAAAAATGTGTGATTGAATACCAATATGACTTTGTAATAATAATAATAAAAATGACAATAATAATTATATTGACTTATGTCATTACTACTAAATAAGACAATTAAAAGGTTTACTCACTAAAATGAGAAATATTACTATTGCAATATTTACTGTAAATAAAAAGGAATTTAAGGAAAATAATATATTTTCATGTTACAGCATGACTGTAAAATTACAACACTGCCTTCATTTCTTCTTATTCAAACGTTAAAAATGTATTTTGGCAAAAAAACAAAAAAAACACAGGTAGCCTGTAAACCTCTTTTGTTGGCAACATGCAACATGCACATTTAAAGTGACCCAAACTCAGAGCACTTGCAGTGATGTGTTTATGTTGAGCGCCATATTTGAACTGAGCTGCTCTGAGACACTGAAAACACTGGATGACGAGCTGCTCGTGTATAAATGAACACAGTGACATGCTTCACTCTATAAAACACAGCTAATGTAAATGTATTTAATAAAATCACAGCCTTTGCGATTTGATAATCACACTAAGCCATATTGCAATTTTAGTCCATATTTGTATGGGATTATTTCACCCATTGTGTCATTCAATTGTTAGTCTGATGACTGATGAAAAGTAATAAAACAAGCTGCAGAATTTGATGCATCATTTGTTCTAAAAACAAATTGAAGTACGTAGAAATAGTGATGCATGCTAGGGTATAGTCACTTTTTTTTCTTTCTTAGCACTGTAGATATAGCTGGTTTGGTGCGGTGGCATATTAGCCTTGCCCAGAACAGGGCCAGCTATTCAACAGTTTGACTGTTATTCAGCTGCCTTCACAACACATAAGAGCACAAAGGCCTGTGTTTTCTGTGGCTGTGGAAAGTAGAGATCCGGACCAGGCAACTGTGTGACAGGCCCTGGTTACAGAGTAGAAAGAGAAGGGGACATTATAAAAGCAGTGACCCCCTAACCTCTTGAGTCCAGTGGGAGGAACATATTAGCCTTCTGCTAATTAATACCAGGTGAAAAACAGCACTGTAAAGTCATGAACAAATCTAAGCAATTGATTCTGTATTGCTTTTAGTATTGCATTTGTCCTCAGTTATGATCAATTTTATGTTTCAGATGTTTCTCTTTAGAAAAACAAATAATAGAAACAAATGAGACAATTGTTAGAGTAAGAGTATAGCTATAAAATATGAATTATTACTCACATCAGTAATTTGATGAGACTTTGTAGACTTTGGTGATAATGAACAATTTGTGATATTGTTCATACTTTTTGGAATTCTTCAGATTAAATGGTGAAGCAAGCAATTTCTCCATCTGCTCTCCATTTGATCTCATTACCGTCTAGGAGAGACAAATGAGATAGTAAATTGGTCTGGTTTTCTATATGGGAGGTTCTGGCTGGTTTAGGATCAGGGTTATTATATTTAACTAAAACTAAAACCATTAAAAATGTTAAACTTGAATTTAAAACTTGAATTAAATTAAATGTCAACTGAAATAAAATATATTACATTTATTTTATTTCAGCTAGTTTCCAAGGCAACATTTCTTATTTTCATTTAGTTTATCTTGATGTAAAAATAGCTAAAACTAAATCAAAAATGAATAAAAAAAACTATATAGATATATATATAAAAAAATAATAATAATAAAAAAAAATGACAAAAAAAACAGCAAATTTAATTAAAAATAAAATGAAAATGGATATATAAAAATAATTCAAAATATTAATAAAAACTAAAATAGTTTCTCAGTGGTACTATAATAACACTGTGAAGGACAGCCTGTTTACTGTTGCCACAGGGTGGGCTTAATAATGGGGGAGTTTAATTACATAATTATTATAATAATGATAAGCAGTAGGTGTAACCACATTTAATGTAAATCAGAACATCATGTCCAGCTTTCATCCCCTTTAATGGACCCGCTGGCCTTTTGAAATCGCCCACTGTATCCAACGCGAGAGCCAGATGGGATTGGAGCTATGCCTTCATGCATGTCTCTGCCCTGAGGAAAGTCCCCCAGCAGTGAGGGAAGAGTGGCTGCTTCTAAAACCTCATAAACTGGTCAGTCCAGCTGGTGCCGTCACCCCTCAATCTGTGTTCACATCCGCCTCAAGTGTTCTCAAACAGTCTGGACCAGTATTAGGTGTCGCTTACAACAGGTGTGACGCTCTTTCAGTCTGTGACAATATCTTCTTTCTCCTTCATTCTCATGGCAGTGACAGACAGATGTTTTTTGAATTGCTGTGGCATTAAAGGGGTCATGTAATTATTCCAAAAATTGAATGGTCCTGTTTTACACAGATCCTTTAAGAAGTCTAGAATTTAATTATACAGTTATCTCCTTTTTTAATAATCTTTTGAGTTCTAGAAGTTGCATTCATATCAGTTTTCATACTCTGAACTCTTTCAAATAGGAATGCTTTTTCAAAATATTAATTAAATAGTCCTTGCATTAATATTGCAAAATGTGGGAGACTACAAATGTCATGTGCAATTAGATTGCTTTTTACTTTTTCAAATAAATATACATATTTTCAGTCCACTGAATTTGAATACATTTTAACTATGAATTTAATTTGCTTTGCATGTTTGCAATTACTGTTAATAACATGCATACAAAATACAGGTATGACTCTTTCTACATTAAGACTTCACTTTGTGGATTGTGAAGTATTAATATAAATGTTGACACAATTATTAATGACAATAACCATGAACATCCCTGATCACAAAAGGTCAATGAAAATTAGATTTCTAATGAGATCACTTCTGTCTGTGTTTTTGTCTCAGTCATGGCTGCGGCAGTACGGCTACCTCCCGCAGGCCAGCAAGCAGATGTCCACCATGCGCTCGGCTCAAATCCTGTCGAACGCCATCAGCGACATGCAGCGCTTTTACGGGCTGGAGATCACTGGAGTGTTGGACCCCGTCTCCATCGAGTAGGACACTCACTCCACCACATGATCTAATGTATCAGCTACACTGTTAGAGCTACTACCAATTCCGCCTCCGCTCATCTTAATCAAACTATTTATTTTTCATGAAGCACTTACATCCTGTTAAATCTGTAACTGAACAGAAAAATTAAGGTCACCTTATGGAGAAGGAGAACCTTAAAGGAATATTGCAGGTTATTTAATGTCTATAGGTGGATGATCCTGTGGTCATGCATTATCGGTGGTAACTTTTTTTTTTTTTAAAGCTGGTTATGACATGAGTTTGATTGTAAATTTCCATAAAGGGTTAACAGGTGATTCTATTGCACCAATCTATGATAACACAATACTAACACATAACACATAATGTTGAAGTGTTTTCTGTTACTTTCAAAACAAGATGATAGTTGCCTATTTAAAGGAATAGTTCACCCAAAAATGTAAATTTGCTGAAAGATGTAGATGAGTTTGTTTCTTGCTCACCAGTGGATCCTCTGCAGTGAATGGGTGCCGTCAGAATGAGAGTCCAAACAGCTGATAAAAACATCACATTAATCAGCAAGTAATCCGCATGACTTCAGTTCGTCAATTAATGTCTTGTGAAGCGAAACACTGTGTGTTTGTAATAAATAAGTCTATCAAGACATATTTAACTTCCAGTAACAAGTCCTCTATCCATAATATTGCTTTCTACGGTGAAAAGAAATTCTGATTAATAAGAGAAATATGCACAGATCAAGCACAGTTTACAAGCGAAAACAGTCCAAAACAGCTCTAAAAAAATATGTCAGTGGATTTTGATGTGGGGATGATGTGGAGGAAGTCTTATTATGGATTCTAATGCCTTGATGGATTTGTTTCTTACAAACACACAGCTTTTCAGTTCACAAGATGTTAATTGATGGACTGGAGTGGTGTGGATTACTTGTGGATTATTGTAATGTTTTTAGCAGCTGTTTGGACTCTCATTCTGACGGCACCCATTCACTGCAGAGGATCCATTGTTGAGCAAGTAATGTAATGCTAAATTTCTCCAAATATGTTCAGATGAAGAAACAAACTCATTTACATATTGGATGGCCTGAGGGTGAGTGAATTCATACATACATATTGTCTGTGATAATAGACAACATGCCTCAAATGTAGCAATTAATATCAAAGTCCACCACACTGCACAGTGATGGATATAAAGGGGCCTCCATTTGTTCAGCTTTCTTAACATGCCTTTATTTTGTGCATGCCTATTAAGGTTCCTTTTGTACTCTAAGCCCTTATCTGTTCCTTTCTTTTTAGGGCCATGAAGAGACCACGCTGTGGCGTCCCAGACAAGTTTGGGGGTCAGATCAAGACCAATGTACGACGGAAACGTTATGCACTCACTGGCCACAAGTGGGACAAGAACCACATAACTTTCAGGTGGGTTTGGATCTGACTCTTCAGTCCACATTATTCCAGTGATTTTGATTGTAATCGTAACACTGTTCTTCTCGTGTCTGCCATGGCTGCAGTATTCAGAACTACACGCCTAAGATCGGGGAGTATAACTCATATGAGGCCATCCGACGGGCCTTCAAAGTGTGGGAGAAAGTGACGCCGCTGACGTTTGATGAGATCCCTTTCCATGAGGTCAAATACGGCCGTCGGAAGGAACCTGATATCATGATCTTCTTCGCGTCTGGTTTTCATGGTGACAGTTCCCCGTTTGACGGAGAGGGGGGCTTTCTGGCACATGCTTATTTCCCTGGTCCAGGGATGGGTGGAGATACTCACTTTGACTCAGATGAGCCTTGGACCATTGGTTCAGAAAACCTACAAGGTGAGTCAAAAGGACTCATTTAGGTTTTATATTGTGTAATATCTAATATGCATATATGTAAAATTATGTTAATACACTGAAACTCCATTTTTTTTGCAAGAAAGAAGTCTCTTATGTTCACCAAGGCTGCATTTATTTGATCAAAAGTACAATAGAACAGTAATATTGTGAAATATTAATACAATTTTAAAATTGGATTTTTATTTTATTTTATTTTATACCAGTGATAGCAAAGCCTTATTTTCAGCATCATTACTCCAGTCTTCAGTGTAACATGATCCTTCAGAAATCATTCTAATATGGTGATTTAGTTCTCAAACATTTCTTATTATTAGTACTGCTTAATATTTTTTAGAAAACAGAATGTCTGGCAACATCTGTATCTCTCAGTTTCGTAGACCCTCGTGAATCTTTCTGTGGAGTCTAATGATTAAACCTGTCAATCCAAGTTATTCTGCCAAATCTACAGCAAACAAAAAAGAAAAAGGTCACATTTGCAAGCCCACCTTTTGTGTTCCTTCTGAATGTATTAGCTGTTGTGAGGTTTTCATGGTCCTGTGGAAGCGGGTGTCATCATTTGAGACAGATGAGTGACTATGTGAGCAGCATGTTGATGTATTTAGAGGGTCAGACATTCCTAGAGACTCTTTTGCACTTTGCAGTAGAGAACTGTGAAGTATGTGATAAACAATAAGATACAGTGCAACCCTCTACGCACACCTTGGCAATATAATCGCCATTGGCTAGTAAATTTTTTTGTTTACTCGCCAGACTGATATACTATTTTACACACACACACACACACGCGCGCGCGCGTTTATTTAGCTATCTAAATGGGGACATTACATAGACTTCTATTGTTTTTATATACAGATAGTTATACACTTTTTAATCTAAACCCACTGCTACCCCTAACAGAAAACTTTCTGCATTTTTAAAATTTCAAAAGTAAAAAAAAAACTTTGTTTACTTTATTTTAAAAGTTTTACAAATGAGGACATCCACAAATTGAGGTTTTTGCCGATTTTGTCAGGCTTTGCTCACTTTTGGGTACAAATTTGTCCCCAAAATATGGTTAAGTACACACACACACATGATTCCACCCAATCAGCTTATCTTTGTAAAATGGAACAGCTTCTTAAATAACTGAATGTGCACTCTTAACTTCAGCCAATCAAGCATTATATTATGATATTATGATAATTAAGCACTATTTAATGATAGAACTAGTGATTAGAACTAAAACTTGGTAACCATGAATGAATGCATATTTGTCATTTTAACTGAACTTAGGACTGGTGGTGGTGTTTAAGATATTGTTGGTCATAGGTAATAGTAATTATTATTAAAAGATACTACTACTACTACTACTACTATTATCTGCTGGGTTCATGAATATTAATCACGTTGTCAGCGTTCGCTCGAACTGATTTGCTGAAATCAAAACAGGGACGGTAACAGATGAGGGCCAGCCAATGAGAGCTGTTCGCGCATTAGCTCCGCTCACTGCCGAGAAACCGGCATATCTTCTGCTTGTTCTTAAAAACTGAGTAATTCTAAATGAACTCTGTTATTTTGACAGGAAATACAACAAATAATATGGTTTACATGTAGCGCGTCGATTCAGCGTGGTATGCAAGACTCTCGCTCTCTCTCTTTGCATGTGTGAGAAACACAGCGCTATCAGTAAAGCGACGGCGAGTCGTGCGCCTTCACACTAGTTTACGGTACGTCAAATACAGGTGCGCTGCGTGCTACATACTGCGCATCCATTGAGTACATGACATGATCCATTGAGCGCATCCAAATAGTACAGATCGCTTGACGGAGAGTGAAACTCTCAAGCGCTCAGTCAGCGTGTTTATCGAGTGAAAATCTGTGTTGAACGTCTCTCACACACATACTGGCGAGTAAAATCTAAGAATGTATTAGCCAATGGCTAATGTTAGACATTATTTAGTCGCCCAGAGTAAGATTTAGTCGCATATGCGAGTGATTTACTCGCAATGTAGAGGGTTGCAGTGTGGTCCAAAGTATGAAAACACATAGACCTGATGGTTTAGGATTCTGAAAAAAAAAAAAAAACCCGCAAATGAAACTTTGTGATATTGACCATTTGAACCTAGTTCGGATCTGATTTAGAACATTGACCTTCTCAGATATTAACCCAAGATCTTACATTGACAGCTAATCAGAATGCACCTCAAAGGGCTCAAGCATTTAAACCGGCAGTCAACAAAACTGCAGTGCTTGCTTATAATAAACAGAATGCCGTTTCAACATTCGACAGGGTTTGACTAGAACTGATGGTGTTAAATACATTAAAAAAACCTGAGCTGACAGACACCAAACAATGGCCTGACACTCCCCAAGAGTCAGTCTGGTGTGTCAAGGCCTTAAGATGGGAAGTTGCTGTAATATGGCTCCTGATTTTTAAAGTAACTTGGAAAGACCTCTTTGTCTATAAAAGGGTTAAAGGTTAATCATGGGATGTCTAGTTTTTCAAACGCTTTAATGAAACATTACAACATGACACATTTGATTGATTACCGACACACTGACTGCAACTTTCACTGAGGAAGCACATAATGCAACTTCAAAAGGAATCTCTAGGATTTTGCAGAGTCTATTTCCATAGTTTTGTAACATCTGGCTACAGGATCATCATTGTTAGCAACAGTTGAAGTCTCGGTCACAATGACACAGCTGTGAGGAGAGATGTCTCCTATTGCCCTGAAGTTGCATCTTTTAACAGTCGTGGCTCTCACACAAGAGCAGCTTTGAATGACGAGTGTGTTTGTCTGTGAAAGCCGTCATTGATTGAACTGTCGGAAAGCATTAGGACAGCAAGTTCAGTACTTCTCTTATCCGCACAGTTATTAGCCCTAATGATGTTGCCTCTCTGAAAAAAACTCTGAACAAGCAACATTACTGTCATTACCCCCCCCCGGAAATCAGGATTTAAGAATTGCATAGAGCCATTTACACCCACAGAGTCACAGATCATTGTGACAGCTGGAAAATGGAGACAGAACGTGATTAAAATCAGTCACCGACTGAGTGCACTGTCACTGTGAGCGTTTCAATAAATCTCTGTAGTGTGCAGATAATTGCAAATGTTCTGCACTGATCCAAAAACTACTTTCATATGAATATGCATTGAATGTGCACTTGCAGTATTTTTCTTAAAATGTACTGGAGATTATGCAATATTAATGAAGGCCGCTTACAGTAAGTGTATTAAAAGAGCGTACACTTTCACAGCTGTTTCCTAACACACTTTAGATGCAAAGTGCATTTAAAAAAAAATGTGATCTCAAATTTTTACATTTTGCATTTTGTTTTAATAGTCTTTTCTTGTGATTGACATGTGCTTTAGTATGTTATTCAACATGAAAATAAGTGTACTTCTTTAAAGTAAGTAATTATAGTTTTAAGTGTAGTGCGTTATGCAGTTAATATATTTTAAATGTAATCAAGTGCACTAGAAAGTGGAGTCTGGGGTCCGGTGTAGTCATGGTTCAAAGTTGGTATGAAAGCAATCCAGCCTAGTTTGTGAACCAATATTGATAAACAATTTGCCTGTTAAAGTATAATAATGTATTTCCCATTGTTGCCTTCAGTGAACATAATAGGGAGAGATGGATGGGGATCAAACTCAGCTGTGGATCAAACAGTCTAAGCTGAATGTAAAACAGAATTAAAGTCAAAATGAAGCATTATTTGCAAACCCATTTTACTTCTGTAAAGTGATGCATTTAGTGAAAGTTCAATGAGTGAAAAATATAGTGCAGGACTTGACTGGATTGTTGTAAGTGATCCATATCATACATGATCCATACTACAGTTAGCACTCAATTTTCCTTCCTTAATCACCTGCCAGCACTCATAGACTGAAACTTAAGCAGTTTTAGTGACGTCAGCCAAAAAGGAAAGTTTGGATTGTAGATCACAAAGACAAACATTTTTCTTTGGAATAGCATGCACAGATTAACTGTTTAGATCAGGAAGATGCATCAAGATAAAAAAAGAGTTCCTTTTGATTTCATGCCACTTTAAAGTGCGCATCATCTCAGCACTAAGCAAGAACTAACAGCGGGAACCCTTTTCCCAACTCCCCCTAAAACGCTCCACACTCTCCTCTTCACTCATATGTCCTATTTACCCAGTCATCTAAATATAGCTGCACTTCTTTATCTTCTGCAAGACCAGTAGCGATTTTGTTTAATGTGCGCACTTAACTCCAGCAAATGTAATGTTCTAGTTGATACGCAGTATATCATGTGTCCTTAAGTCAGAGTGGCCATAAAATGCAGCTGTGATCTCCCAGAGCGAATGAAGATTAATAAGCTGTTGTATCAGACATTCTTTACTAGTGACCTCAGTAAATCAGCTCATTGCTGACCATCAGCTCTCTCTAATACCACAGCCTGTGATATTTAATATGTGTCTCCCCGTAGGCAATGATCTGTTCCTGGTAGCCGTACATGAGCTGGGGCATGCCCTTGGACTGGAACACTCCAATAATCCTTTGGCTATTATGGCTCCTTTCTACCAGTGGATGGACACCGAAAACTTTGAGCTGCCTGAGGATGATCTCCGTGGGGTCCAGCAGATTTATGGTAACCTGATGATTGTGATGTCTTAAACATGGCATTTCTGATTTTGCAGCATATTATCTCCATAGCATGCGTTTGCGTTTGCGTTTTCATGTGGACGGAGATTTTTTTTAAAAACGGAAGAAGGAAAAACTCAATTTATAAACTGTGTATAAACTCAGTTTATAACATACCCGTGTACGTGTGGATATGGCCTTAGAGACACGACTTTTTGGTTTATATATGAGTTTAAGGTAAATTTACAAAATTTTATTTTTGAGCTGTATAATTCTGGCCATAAATTTTGTAAAGGAAGCAAAACTCAGTGAATGCTTTAACTCATATTTGATTTGCGTCAATCAGGACAGTAAGTATTTTTGCCATTTTTTATTTTTTCCAGCTACTGAAAATTGTATTGCATTTTTTTTTTATTAACATTTTAGCATTTTGCATGATGTATTTTTTTGCAGTTCTCTGCCCCACCACCAAAAATAATAATATAGTGTAAATTTTCTTAAGAAAATGTTCAACAGCTGTAGCATAGCCCCATTATACCTATAAATTCATACATATACTTTGCTGTCTGCTCAGTTTGTCACGGTGCAAACATTACTAATTAGTTTTGCATTTTTATCCATTCTTACTGGGTTTTCCAGAACTATTAAAAGTAGAGTTTCAGAGACATACCTTTTTGGTTCATACAGTATATAGGTTTAAGAACTAAATGTAATTTGGCGTCGAATAATTCTGAAATTGACCATATATTTTGCAAAGGAAGCAAAACACACATTTACTCAACAATAAGATTTTTTTTAAACATAACTGTAATTAGAAATTAAATGCCTAGTAACTAGTAACTTTCAATGAAAAATATTCTAATCTCTTAACTCTTTATTGGTACATATAAAAATGTAAAATACAGAGTTAAAAAAATGGTGGAGTGAAAAAAGTTTCACTGTCCTACTACCAAATGTTTTTTTTTAATTTAGAATTTTAAATTTTTGTATGGGTCAGAATTAAAAAATGTTTTAATGTAAAAAAAATGAAAACAAATGTTACTCTGTTTTATTTATTTATTTATTTACATAATAATGTAACTCCATTACACATAAATGTACTTTGCTGTGCAAACATTGTTGATTGCTTTGTAATTCTTAATCCATTGTTACTAGGGCTTCCAGAACATTTACACGTCATATTTGCAATTTCAACAACATCCATGCTTAATATCCAGCTAGATAACTTTACCCTGGTGTCATATTTAAATCAGCCCAATTTATAACAGGACATCAAATGTTTACATTTCCAAGTCATAAAACTACATGAACAGTGTCAATGAATGGCTCTGGTGCAAAGTCAACTGGCCTGAAACTCGGTCAGTGGGCCAATCTCATTATCAAGCCCTGCCAGCAGATTGAGATCAAAAACTGCTCAAACCACAGTGAGGTTTCCCACATTGGTTATACATATCAACACCCTGCACCCCTGAAACAGACATCTAATAACTTCCTGGTGAAGATTTCTGTGAAGATGAATGTATACTTGTTAGACTTGAGGAAAGCTGGCTCCCATAAGGAAACCGTGCATGGCAAGTAATGATGTCATTGGCAAGGCCCTTTAAAATTTGGATTTCTGCCATTGGAGAAAACCAGGAGACCAAAATCTTAGGAGCAACATCTGGTCTTAGTGAGGCGAGGCCATTGCGTCAGCTAGCGCTTCTACCAGATGCTGACAGCAACGGTTGGACTTGGACATGGGCCCACTGAATCAAACGGGTCCATGAGGATGGTGCCTCAGTGTCTGCCATACTGTAAAATAATAAAAGCTCAAGCTTATCCCAGTGTTTCTGTAACGGCTCCATGCGATGCTTTCGCTGTCGCTTTAACCACTAAAATGTGGGATTTGAACCAAACCCGCATTGTTGGTGCATCTCTTGCAGTGCTGTAGTGCAGTTATTTGAGTTATAACAGAGAGTGAACACAAATCTGTGGTTGAGTTTTGGAGTTTGTATTACTGTGCCAAAGGTTGGAAAGTCCCTGTACATGCACCATGAAATCCTGAGTGTTGCTGCCTCCCACTTCTTGTCTTTTCTACTTCCTTGCCATTGTTTTCAACCTCTGTTCTCTTTCTTCATGTCCATTTTTGAACTTTTGACGGTTTTTTAAAACCTGCTTTCTAGTGGTTAACCAATATGTTTTTTTTCGATGGGTGGCCGATGTATAAACCTGTATGATAGTAAATGAGAATAACGCTGTGTCTCATTTGCTGTATTGGATACAGATTTCGAAGGCCACACATTTAAAGTCAGAGAAGTTCGAACCAAGCTTTGTTAATTGGATAACGCACCATTTCACAAAGCTCAAATCATCTCAAACTCTGTCTCTCTCAACAAAAAAAAAGAATCCTGTCATCACCAGTGCGCAATGAATCTAGGGACAGCCTGTGCTGCAAAGGATCCATTCTTTGTATCCTTCATGGCCCAGGAAACAAAGGCTGTATTTGAAGGAGTATTTTAATTGTGTGTGTGCCGCCATCCCAGAGTCTCCACAGTATCAGTTCAATGTGATGTTCAAGTGACGTACAGGGTTGCTTCCATCCGCTGACTTATACAAGTACTTGTTTGTTTTCTAACAGTGTTGTAGTGAAATGTTTTGTAACCTTTTGTTGCGCCGCTGTGACGCATTCGGTCTTGGAATGCAGCCTCTGAATTGGGACACCACTAAACATAGATTTGCTGAAATATTATATAAAAAATCTTTCAAAAAACATTTACACAATATTTAATAGAAATTTACAAAAAAGTGTCAGATTATCACTACTTGCCTCTTTCTCTCTCGTGTCCATCCACCTGTAGGGAATCAGTATTGGTTGTTCAGAGAAGCCAACCTGGAGCCCGGCTATCCTCAAGAACTGGTGGACTATGGTAGAGACATCCCGTATGACAAGATAGATACAGCCATCTGGTGGGAACCTTCTGGCTTCACTTACTTCTTCAAAGGAAACTGGTGAGGGGCTACTCTTATTTTTTGTTCTGCAAATAATTCTGCCTCTAATGTTTATTGTCTAATCATTCCCTTGAGTTGTTTTGGATGCATTACTGACCCTGTTTACACCTGCTCTTAACATCAGTCTCGGGTGACCTGATCACAAGTGATCAGTCGAGACAGATTGATGTTTACTCATGGTATTAACATGTCTTGCATGCTTCTTTAATGACCCCCCCAGATCGGATTTCATCAAGGGGAGGGGATCTTTTTTT